TGTGACTGTGTAGAAAATTTGTAAGGCAATAGCAGAGCTAAATTCATGCCCTTTCATTCTCAAATACGTCATGGTATCACTCCCTTTGTGTGTTTGAACTACCAACAAAGCCTTTCATCAGGAGCAGGCAGATTTTCCTTTTTAACTCAGTAATTTGTAATACATACTATCAGTATCAAGTATAAGGCCACACCAATTTAATTTCTTGGTTAACGGATTCGCCTCTTCATTTTTTTCTGATTTGCAAATAAAAATAAAAATTCAGCATCAACTGCAAAATGCTCATATTTTGCCCTGAGCTGTTGAAAACAGTCCTTTTCTTACTACTTGTTAGTCATTCCATCTTTCAATGCAGTGCTACCATCAAAAGCTCAAAATTCATTGTTCAAATTTTGAACCAGCCTGGTGTGTTGACTTCATGGCTCCTATCGTACCATTTTGGGCCATAATAGGATGCCTAGGCCTGTTTTTATTATTTTTTCGCCCCAGGGTTGGACAAGTCCCATTGCCCACTTGCCCAGGGCAAGTAAAAGTACTGTTCGGGCAAGTGAATATCCCCCTATACTTGCCCGATTGGGCAAGTAAATTTTTTTACGTGAAGTATAGCCGCTATGGTGTTTGGAGCAAAATTACTCATCATTTTGCCAAATTGATATTATATTATATTAATGTCCTTTTGTCAGAAAACCCAGGAAGTCTCAAACCACATTATTTTGATTATTTAAATAAAGTATGCAGCATTATAATCCCTAAAATAAGATGCTGGTAGTAAAAATGCATAAAAATGTCATGTATATTTTGGGCAAGTGAAAAGTTGGTTCGGGCAAGTGGAAATGCTTGTAAAAGCCCAGACAGTGGAGGCCTTCAAGGCCGGGCTTCTGGCCGCGCAGCCATAGTCTGTCGCACCCCCCCCCTCCTCAGTGATACCCCAGTAGGGGTGGTTAGAGAGTATCGAAGAAGAAGAAGAAGAAGAAGAAATGACTATGTACTTGCCCAATAGGGCAAGAGGATTTTTGAAAACTTGTCCAACCCTGCGCCCGCCCGCTCCATTATTTTTCTAGAAAAATCCGTTAACCAAGAAATTAAATTGGTGTGGCCTAAGGACAGCAATACTATTAAATTATGAAATTGAACCAATTTCTCATTAATTATGCAAATTAGGTCTTCATTTACATAATCAATATGTTCAGATGTTGCTCTCAATTACATGTCATAGGTGTTTAATGGTCCTATTATCAAATGAAGCAGATTTATAGAATGTCCTCATTAATTATGCAAATTACCTCCTGATTTGCATAATTGTCATCTGATTATGTCAAGCATCACTTCAGCTACCTACATACCAAAAATCAAGACAATCGGTCAACCAGTTCTTGAGTTATCCTCCGAAGATTTTTCAACAAACACTCCTGCAGTTTCAGAACAAGCCGCTAGGGGGCCCAAACTCATGTCACTTCTTCCCTAGCCCAAGAGCTATCTACCAACCAAAATTCGTGACCCTAGCATGTCCTGGTCATGAGATATCAAAACCGGAAGTTCTGCTGCAGTACCAACAAAAGCCATCAGGGGGCCCAAAATCTAATCATTTCTAGGTCTCATCAAGACCTACCCACCTGCCAAATTTCATGACAATGCATATTTAGCTTATTCTTTGTTAACAATTGCTCTGTGTGTTCAGCCATATTGTTGTTCATGTTCCACCTTGACCTGATCATGACCTTAGATTTCATCATGAAAGCAATCCATTCTCTTTCCCTGCTCGCATAGGCTTTGTGGTGTTCCAAAGGACTCTATCCACATACATGTAATCAAATCAGTATGGTCTAGTTACACTAAGTTGTCAAATGTTTGATAACAAAAGTTAGTGATCATAACGGGCCCGTTTATTAATAGTGTCCCAAAATTTGGGACAGGAAAGCGATCAGAAATAATCTTTGCATCAAGGACTCACCTCGAATACCTCGGTTACCTGAGGAATCCCACTGTAACAGTATCGGATCCGTACACGAAGAAAGGCGGGGAAAGACTGGAAAGTCACTTTGGGCCAAAGTCCGACGTACGAACAACAACAACAACAACAAATCCACACCCCTTTCAGGTCATAGGTCATGGCACAGCTGTATTCATTCATGACCGAACCCCTTCTTCGATAGCAGACCGCCTGACACAAAGTAGTGCGCCGCATTGGTTTAGAAAGCTGCAAAATTTCTTGCTTACACTGCATCATACTGGTGAAAACTGTGGTAAATGCTAGAAGAATGTGTCAGGTTTGAGACTGTAAAAGTTGAATTAGGATGTTTTTGTCCGGTCGACGTAGATTCGCGCTTTGATACTGTCACCGCGTAGTACTGTGTTTTGGCTGCAGTTCAAGTAACCTCCGCATGTGGCGCTTGTGTATGAAAGAATACGGAAGAGGCCGGCAAACTTTGGTTTAGTTTTGAGCTCATTTTCAGGTTTTGTGGCTTCTCGTGCAGCGTCAGTACTGTGTTCCTTGCACAGCTAAGCTCGTGAGGTACGCTCAGGGTACGCTGGGTGCATGCTGTTTGGTGACTGAGTGTGAAAGTCGTCGGCAGAGTCAGTCAGAACCAGGTGTGTACGGAAGTGTTGTCACTCAGAGCTAGCCTTGAATAAATACATGATCCGAGTGTAGCCTCATATGAAATCATGTCAAACAACAGTTGCTGTACCTTTTATGCAATTCCTCAGGTAACTTAGCTGTGAGCTAGACCTCGATCTATACATTTTCCTATGTAGATTTTCCCTTGTTTGAATTTTGGTGCTTGAAATTATTTTTGCATAATGCTGAGCTATTGTTCATTCATTCTTGTTATTATTATAAAGGACAATTTAGTCTGGTGATCAACCGGGGTTTTCTGGCAGCCGACCGTAGGAGCCGGTCTCTCTAATTACTACCGGTAGTACTGCCATCCAACTGGCTAAGGACAATAGAAAATTGTTTGACTTGATAAAATAAATGCCATTCTAATTTCTATTTGCTTATCAGGGCATCAAACTAGTCTAGCACTACTTGCTACCTATTTTGGAGCTACTAGGGCTATTGTCACTGACAAAAAGTTAGGAAAAGCCAACCATTTTGTTGCACAACATGCAGGGAAAGACCTTCAGGTATTGTGCATAGTCCAGCAGTTCACAACCCTGCCTTTGGACCAAGAGGTGGGAGTTCGAATCCCGGCTGTTGTCACTCACCCGACATGCACACAGTCCTTAGGACGTGATGTTAGTTCATGATCAACTCTTCATTGTTCTTTTTGAAAAGAGCTAAGGACAAGTCGAAGATTAGCTCTTCAGTGAGCTAAAACTTAATCAAGCTCCGTTTTCTTTCTTCCCTAGGCCACCATGTCCTCATCAGAAAAGTTGGAGGTAGAAGATAAGCTTGTACAGAAGCTTCGAGCAGCTGTGGCTAGTGTAAGAACATATAGCATCTGTCTTCTCTCAGTGTCACAACCAGACTGGAAAAATAGCTCTTCTGTGAGCTAAAGCTCCCTTTCCTGTTTTTTTCCTCAGGCCACCATGTCCTCATCAGAAAAGTCGGACCTGTCATCAGAAGAGGAGCTTGTGCAGAAGCTTGCTGAGCTGAGGCTTGTGTCTGCACGGCTGGATGTGGGGCCAGAAGAGCGGCAGGACTGGACACAGGTTTTTACTCATTTTTTTTTATTCACTTGTATTAAATGGAAACTTCAAATATTAACCCTAGTGATTTAAACCTGAACTAGAAATGTTTACCTTGGAATATGCTCTGCTCTGCTACTAGTAATTCTTACTCAAACACATTCATATATATATAGTGACAGGAGTCTAAATCCCTCCTACTATAAAATTGCAACATGATGTAACCCAATACCAGTTACCATGGAGACATACGTCTCTTCTTCTAAATCTCCAAACAAATAAGTTCAGCGACTTTATTTATTTGGAGAAGAAGAAGAGGAAGAAGAAACTGAGCAAAAACAAGATGTTTTCCTTCTGCGAAGGTAAAAATAATAAACCATTCATTCCTCCCTGCAGAAGGCCCAGCAGCGTGTGAGTCAGTACTTACAGGACCTGCCCAACAGCAAGGTGCTGGGAGATGGGGATCAACAGGAGATAGAGGAGGCTGTAAAAGCTGTGTTACCCATCACTGAGGAACCTGTCAGTTTTGGTAGGTTATCATCATTAACTCATCACTAACTCATCATTAACCCATCACTGCTGATGAACAGGAAATGGAGGAGTCTGTAAAAGCTGTGCTACCCATCACTGAGGAGCCTGTCAGCTTTGGTATGTAGTACTAGTAGCCTGGGTACCATCTTCCATAGTTACCACTTATTCTCTCTTGTTGCTGGATAAAACATGTAAGATGCTAAGTAGGTATCCAGTGACAGAAAGGGAGCCAGTAGTCACTGCATAAGATGGTACCCACACTAGGTATGCAGATGACAAGAGGAACTTTGAATGTTACTATTTGCACAGTACATTGTACTTTTAATTATCCAGCCACTTCTACATGTATCTACTTGCTGACTTGGAATATACAGGGAACGAAGTTATATATACATTGTCTGGAGTGACATCCTGAACAGCACCAGCAAGGATGAACTGAACTGATGAACCATCAAACATTCTCTCATCCTGCCCCTTTGTGTTCCAGACACGGCCCTGGAGAGTTTCTGCAGCTCTGTGGGGGATCACATGCTGATGCGGGAGGGACACCCGAACTACTTTGCCTACGTGCCGGGAAACAGTTTGTATCCCTCCGCCATCGGAGACTTCCTGGCAGCAGCGTTCAACCCCTACGCATGTAAGTCATGGGAATTATTGCATCCAGAACTGGTCCTGAATGGGTTAGGGTTAGGATCAGGCTGGTTCTGGATAGTCTCCACGTATCCAAGAATGACTATCCTGAGAACTGTGCCTGATCTGCAAAATCTATCCAGTTGCTTGAGTAGCCATTTCTTAAGCCTGGATGTCTAAAACCATCATCAACAAAAATTTTCCATAGTTCTAGTTCACACTCACATACAGTTACACACACACACACGCACACACACACACACACACAAAAAAACACATCAGACACTTTTTTTTTAATTGTAACAGTAATTGTAACAATACACATGGGACACAGGCAGCTGTTGCTGGTGTTGTGTCCCACACATACTCATTTTCTCTTGAGTTAAGTGAGGAAAGCTGTGTAAAGTGCGTTTCCCCAGGGTACAAGATCGGTGGCATGTCAGGACTCGACCCCGGGACCTCTTTGTTCCAAGTCGAGCACTGTGCTGTTACACCACACGATCCCACTCTTTTTTTTTTTTTCTGTTCATAGTGGTGTGTTACATGTACGCCTGCCCCGCTGCCGTCCAGATGCAGCATTCCCTCATCCGCTGTTATATAACACAATCATATAGGGAGTTGTATAGTACATATATGTTAAGAGTTAAAACTTTAGATCCAACAAAAAGAAGTTCTCTCACCTAGAGCTTTTGACCAGTCACTCTGGTCTTCCTCAGTAGACTGACCCAGTGAGGCTTGTCATGTGGCTTCTTTGAAGAGTGACGTGTTGATTATAAAGTTTTAACATGTAGCTACCAACACAGATGAACTTTCATGATAGTACATTATACTACATACATGTATGTTGTTTTCCCAGTGGTGAGTTATGCCTGCCCTGTTGTTTATGTGTTCCCAGTGGTGAGCTATGCCTGTCCTGCCGCCGTCCAGATGCAACATTCCCTGATCCGCTGGGTCGCGGGGCTCTTTGGCTACCCAGAATCCTGTGCAGGAAACCTCACGTCGGGCGGAACAGTCGGCAATCTCATCGCCATAGCAACGGCAAGAGACGCGAAGAAACTAAAGGCGAAAGATTACCACAGGTTTGCAAATGGAGGTTTTTTTTTTGTTTTTTTTTTATTCCAACATGTAATCACCAGACGTGGTGACGGCACACTCAAGTTTTTCAACTTATATTAATGCCGCCTCCAACACAGGACAAATACATGTACATGACAGGACAGTACTCATTTTCACCTGAGCGAAGTGAGGAAAGTTGTGTAAAGTGCCTTTCCCATATACATGTAGTTACAATACGTCTGATACATTTGCTTGGCGAATACTCATTAATGGTTGTATTTTGATTTGATTTGATTTGATTTGATTTGATTTGATTTATTAGGATTGCAAACAAGTACAATACTGATTTGATTTGATTTGATTTCCAGCACAATTGTTGGAGGTGTCCATGTAGCCATTTTTGGAATTTGAAGTTGGACGTTTTTATTTTCCAGGTGTGTTGTGTACCTGAGTGAGCTGACACATGATGGGATAGGAAAGGTATGCAGTGTTAACTATATCCCAACTATCTCTTCATTTCTGTTATCATGTACATATGGCCTCCTTTTGTCAGAATTGATCAAAATCAAATTGGTAAAAATCCTAATGGTTAGCAGCCCTACAGCTTTGGCTATGGCTAAAAAGTCTTATATGAGAAGTACATGTACATGTATCTGCCACATAGGACACTGTAAGCTGACTTTTCATTTCATTTCATTTTTTTATTTATTTACCCAGGGTAAACATGTCGCCGCAAGGGCGTTTTTCAATGTTCCCTGCGGACATATACATTTGCAAAATATACTTATTAGCTTAAAATAACAAACAGGAAAACAAAGGTACAGTTAGCTTAATTGCAAAAATAACATATTGGTAAAGTGCTTCAAAATCATACGGTAAACTAATAACTTATATGAAACAAGCGAATAAAATGCAACAAATGAAATAAATAAAGAAGGTAATGGAAATTTGCATATCAATGTTACAAAACAAAAGTAACGGTTACTATGTTGCGAGAACATTCTGGTTATACAAACGCTTAAACGAGACTTTTCCCTGGGTCTGCTTCTCTTCTTCGCAGTGCATCAGTCTAGCTTCCCCCGATTTCAGCTGCTGGACAGTGTTATCATGTTCCAGTACTGTAGGAATAGTTAATCCTTGTCCTACTGGCACTTTTTGCATTTGTTGCAGTGTGATGCATTGCATGAGAAATACCCCCAAACCGTACATACTAGTATACAGGGCGTTATATACATGTACTAGATGGTACTGTATGTGCAACCCATATACATGTATGTATGGACTCCACAGGACAAGAGTTAAGCTAAAGTATTGTTTCTGTGCTGAAGGTTCTCCACACGATCGGGATGGGAGAAGCTGTCCTGCGGAAAATCCCCGTCACCGAGCGGTTCGGGATGGACGCCGAGAAACTCGACGAAGCCATAGAGAAAGACACAAAGGTGGGTTCCTCCTGCCTACTTCAATTCAACTTGGTCTCATTCAACATGTGTACAGAACTCTTAATCTAATAAGGAAGGGTGGCTTACTACTTGTGTACCAGAAATACTAAATAACAAAAAAATGAAGGTATTTTTAGGAAATGCCTTGTTGCAAGCTTATACAAATTTACATGATATCATATGGACACCATCAACTTGATCAAGAGATATAGCCTTTTATGTCCTACCTGGGCCGCGATTACGTTCGATACGGGTGTTCCGGCCCGTGTGATAACTAGCGGTACAGCCCGGGGGTTCTGAATGCGTATGGCCCGGCCCTTCCAAATGTTCCGTGGAACGATTCGAACGCGTTTCGGCCTAACCCTGTGCGCCGATTTCGAAATTCGAATACAAAATTCGGACGTTGGAATTGATCGATGTTGATGTTGATTTTTTTGGTTTAGGGACACCAAATTTTCGCTCATTTCGCATTGAAAGGCGCGTTTTCTTGGGTGGGTATGACATAAATAAAATACAACACGGTGTATTCCGCATCACCCTCGGTCCCAGCCCTCCCGCGGATCAGATCTCCCTCCGAGCTTCGGCCGTCGGGCGATCCGACGAGCGGTCGGGCTGGTACCTCGGGCGATACGGAATACACCGTGTTGTATTCAGATTTCTATATATAGGCCATACCCTGTTTCAGACACCCTTAACACATCTTTCACAACGGATAGATGGCTACAGGCCTACTTAGCTAATGCCTGCGCATTTACCAGTATCAATTACATTCACATACGTTTACACTTCCTATTGTCCTTTCTTTTTCATTTTGTGAGTCTTTCCTTCCCTCCCTCCCTCTACAGGAAGGGTTGATCCCGTTTGCCATTGCAGCCACCACAGGCACCACAGACGTTGGCTCGGTAGACCCAATCTCAGAACTCGCAGACATAGCAGAGAAACATAGCTGTTGTTCTTTCTCCTTCATCTCATGACTCTTTTGTTCCCTCCCTCCCTCTACAGGAATGGTTGATCCCGTTTGCTATCGCTGCCACTACAGGCACGACAGATGTCGGCTCGGTAGACCCAATCTCAGAGCTTGCAGATGTAACATGTAACAGAGAAACACAGCGTCTGTTGGCCTTTCTCTTTCATCCTGTGAATCATTCCTTTCCTCTCTCCCTTTCTCTGCAGGAAGGGTTGATCCCGTTTGCCATCGCTGCAACCACAGGCACGACAGACGTGGGCTCGGTGGACCCGATCGCTGAGCTTGCAGATGTGGCAGAGAAACACGGCGTCTGGCTGCACGTTGATGCCTGCTACGGCGGGTTCTTCGTCCTGTGTGACTCCGTCAAACACCTGTTCAAAGGTGTGGAGAGGGCCGATTCTTTCACCTGCGACCCTCACAAAGGTGAGGCCTGAGATCCTTCTTATTATAAGATCCATTTTGTATCCAGAACTGTGCGTGTCTAGTTCTATGACTGAATGGATAGCCTCTGTGTACCTAAGAACATAGATTTGCCCCAAGCACGGTTTTGGGTAAGTGTGGATTATCCAGAGGCATGGTCCTGGATACAGCACAGATCTGGATATCCAATATCCTTTGTATGATCCCTACACACACCTTGCGGCTTGTGCAGGTCTGTTCATGCCATTCAGAACCGATAAATTCTCACAGCATGTACTTCCAGTAAGTACTCCACGTTGGGGACAGTCAAGGGTGTGTGGTTCAGCTGACAGAAAATGTTCTGACTTTCCTGGGTGCTCTCTTTCACCTGGCTTGTGCAGGTCTGTTTGTGCCGTTCACAGCTGGACTGTCTGTTCCCAAATTTGGGAAGCTGTAGGGCCACAGCAAGTAATTTTTATGGATGACATAAGTGTGTGTGTTAATTTTCACCCAATTTTGGTAGGAGAAAAAAAATTTTGTTGCCCTCTGGCAGTGGTCAACATGTCAAAAATGGGCAAAGATATCTGTTGCCATGGTGGAACGTTTTTTGTTTTACTAAGATTTAAAGTTTTGTTGTTTACTTTTACTGCAGGTCTGTTTGTGCCATTTGGAGCGGGGCTGGTTCTGGTGCGAAACTGGAAGCAGCTGCTGACCTCCAACAGACGGACCCCAGTCAGCACGCTGCAGGACAGACCAACCTTCGCTCGGCAACTCAACCCCGAGGACCTCACCTTCGAGCAGAGCACGCACTTCCGGTAAATTGATACTTGCAATGTACCAAAAATATACCAAAAACATGCCCGTAGCCAGTGGTTCTGGCCTCCCCACAAGGCTCAAAGGTCTACTTTTTTTATCTAAAGGTCTAAGATTTTTCATAAAAATATGGACTGATTTGTGTCACACTTTGATTTTTACTATAAAACCCTCTCAAAAACACCAGAAATGCCATTTCAGAAGGTTTAATTTTCAAAATTTTACAGGGTTAGAGAGGTAGGAATCAGGTAGAGTTCAGGTCTTTACACTCCTTACTGAACACCTCATTCCTGGTTCTAGATCTTGGAAGTGGAACCTTCAGCGTGTAGCTTTGCCCTCTTGTTTTTCTGTCTGCGCACAAGAAAAACTAGTCCGTAACTTCTCCAGAATCGCTTCATACCGCACAGCTGTCGCTTGTGTTTCAGCGCTGTAGGGGTTTGGGATGGGAGTTGTACCATATTACACCATGTTTGTTTGTTTGTTTTAATTATTGTGTACTTTCCTTTATTGTGTTCCAGAGCTGTAAGAGTGTGGCTGCCGCTACAGGTGGTTAGTCTTGAGGTTGTATATCTCAAGATTACATCTTGCTTGATTGTTTGTTTGTTTTATTGTGTACTTTCCTTTTCTGTGGTTCCAGTGCTGTAAGAGTGTGGCTGCCGCTACAGGTGTTTGGTGTGGGAACGTTCCGGGCAGCGTTACAGGAAAAACTGTACCTGAGTCAGTACCTGTACCACAAACTCAAAGGTGAATTGCATCAATATGATACCATCAGGTGTACTGTTGTAGCTTTTATTGTGTGTGTGTGTGCGTGTGCGTGTGTGTGTGCGTGTGCGTGTGCGTGTGTGTGTGCGTGTGTGTGTGTGTTTGTGGTCATAGAGGATCTGACAAAGATTGTGATTTTGTCCTTTCAATAAGTTCCGTTTCTAACAATACAGAACACCCTCTGGCATGTCATTGCTATTGCAGCTGTCCCTGGGCTGTTTGACCTTGAGCCCCAGCTGTCCATCATGCTGTTCCTACCCCATTGTTTATTGCGCTTTTATTTACTTTTTGTTGGTTTATAGTCATACAATACCCCATCACCCGTCACAGCTGTCCCTGGGCTGTTTGACCTTGAGCCCCAGCTGTCCATTATGCTGTTCCTACGCCATTATTCATTGCGCTTTTATTTTCGGGTTTATACTTTTATTAGTTATTCTTAGATTTTGACCTGCAAATCAAGTCTCTTTTCTAACAATACACCACCGCCCTTCGCAGCTGTCCCTGGGCTGTTTGTCCTTGAGCCGCAGCTGTCCATCGTGCTGTTCCGTTACGAGGGCGTCCCGGAGCAGCAGCAGCAGCAGGGCTGTCCGGCCGCGGAGGTTAACCTGCGGCTGCTGGCGCACGTGTGCCGGGACGGCCGGCTGTTCCTGGCCTCCACCACAGTGCTGGGGCAGACGTACCTGCGAGCGTGCGTGCTCGCATTCAGGACTCACCGCGAACACGTGGACTCGCTCGTCGCCGCAGTAACGGACGGGCTGAAACAGTTACTAGGGTAACAGTTACTAGGGTAACAGTTGCTAGGGTAACGGTTGCTGGGGTAACGGTTCCCAGGGCAGTCCTATAAGGGCAGTAATTGGGGTGATCAGGGAAAGGAGTTATCAATTTTTGTATAAATAGTTAGAAAGAAATCGCCTGTTGTGTCCAGAACCAGGCCAGGCACGGTTCTGGATGTCCAGGAACAGTTCTGGATGTCCAGGCACAGTTCTGGATGTCCAGGAACGGTTCTGGATGTCCAGGAACAGTTCTGGATGTCCAGGCACGGTTCTGGATGTATAGGAACGGTTCTGGATAGTCCATGCATAGCCAGTACTTGGGTGGATAAAGATGTAATGGAAAGGAGTTACAGGTTTTCACAAAATCAAGAAGTCAAGAAAAGGAGACAAAATTCACCTGTCACACATCCTTTTATTATTAGTTGAAGATAAGTTTCCCTGCACTCATATTTATTCCAAAGGGATATAATTGTCCTGTGTACTATAATTAAATATGCACCTCACTGGGACCATTACATTTTGTAATATAATATATGAAAATTATACAATATAATGTTTGCTGCAAATTCATCCTAAAGGCTAACTTTAAATGAATGTTCAACAATGTACGAGCAGAACAACATCACAATTGTAAGACTTAATTAATGACAATGACAATGATGTTTATTTGCACATTCATGCCCATGAGGGCTAAGCGCAGTACATATGTAGTTTTACATGAGTCATGTAGACATTAAAATTCTACAAAGTGCTATACTACATCTATTGCATACAGATGGATAAACATCTAAGGCTAACATTGACATAATTAACATGTTTCTTCCCTCTTAAAACAGGTATAAACGAACTTACAGAGTTTTTCTTGTGCAGTATTTTTATGAGATGACATTATGTACACAAATAGATAATCTTAATGAGTAATTAATTAATTAATGAGTAATTAATTCAATGAGTATGAATTACAAAGTTCTACCTCTAATAATCTAACCTGGTGCTTGATTGTTTGTCCCTGAAGACTGGAAAATGAAGTGTTTAGAATATGATAAATGTTCAGAATAATGACTACAAAGGAGAAATGCGTTTAAATGTAAAGACTCACATTCAAAAGCAGTGACTAATTCAAATGCCTAAGTATCTTTCTACACTGTTTTGCAGAGATTTGCGATAATAAAATTTACCTCATCTAGATGGTAACACTGGAGAATTACGTTTCTTCAGAACGTGGCGACCTCTTCCGTGTTGAAGTTGACTAGCGTCGGGTCTGTCCCGTAGTAGGCGTGCTTGGACATGTCGGCCGTGTAGCGGCTGGCGGGCGGCTGGCGGCCCAGCGCCTCGGCCATGGCGCGGGTGAAGTGCGAGGCGTTCCCGCAGCACAGCCCGAGGTACCGGATCCCGAGGGCGTGCGCCCGCCGGCTCCACGCCGCGATCTGAGACCGGCTGCACAGGTACGGGTCCATGTCAAGAGGAAACGCGATCTCACCTGCAGAGGACAGATTGAAGATTTACGTCGATGAAGGTTAGACAATCAGGTACTTCGTAGTAAGACACTGTCAAAAGGTAGTGGATGCTACTTGAAACGTCTGGCCGTTTCCAAAAACATATCCAGTTGCTTGAGTAACTGTTTTTGGCGTATTGAAGATTTCTTTCTGAAACGGACAGGAATATTCTAGAATAAAAGCTCATCTGAATTAGTGAGTAAACTACAGGAACTCAATCTCGCACAGTTTACTGCAGCCTTCGTCACGTAGGAATGACCACATTCTTGCGGCACGTGACCTGATGGACACGTGACCCCAGCCTTTGGCACCAGGATTGGTCATTCGAGCCTGATGAAGGCCTCAGTACAGTAAAGGCATTTTGGATTACGAAGAATGAACCATTACCTGTGCCGTCTATGTCCTTGAACGTCATGAACTGCGGAGTGACGTCATCCGTGCGGTAGGGGACGGGCACGAAGGCGAGCGGCGTCTGCAGGGAACGAGAGCGGAGTGACGCGTTAACTAGGAAACGAGAACGGTGTGAAGCATCATCACCTACGGCTTCATTTAAGTTGTCCCGAGTATGCAAATAAGTACAGTCTACTCACCTTGATGCCGCTCTGTATGGCCTGCTCGAGGACCGGCAGGGTTGTGGCGGGCCCCCGGCCACAGTTCAGCCCCACCACGTCCGCCCCGGCCGCCGCCAGGTCCTGCATGGCCGTCTGGACATTTAAGTTGTCCCGAATATGCAAATAAGTACCTTGATGCCGTTCTGTATGGCCTGCTCGAGGACCGGCAGTGTTGTAGCGGGTCCCCGGCTACAGTTCAGCCCCACCACGTCCGCCCCGGCCGCCGCTACCTGCCCCAGAACCTCATTTAAGTTGTCCAGAATATGCAAATAGATAATAAGTTGTCCCGAATATGCAAATAAGTACCTTGATGCCGTTCTGTATGGCCTGCTCGAGGACCGGCAGTGTGGTGGCGGGACCCCGGCCACAGTTCAGCCCCACCACGTCCGCCCCGGCCGCCGCCATGCGCCCCAGTGCCTCCTGGATAGGAACCCCGTCTATCAGGGCGTCTCCACGCTTAAGGTTAAAGCTCACCACAACAGGCACACCTGGAGGGGGGGGGGCATTATTTCATTCCTGTAGCCATTTTAATCTCCGAGCAGATCTTTTGGTAGCCAACACCCTACCCCATAGGCAAGGCAGTATCCAGTAGGCAATGCAGTATCCAATAGGCAAAGTAGGCAAGACAGTATACAATAGGCTACTTAGTACTTTGTTAGCCTGCTTCGATCTTCTGCTTACTTGGCTGCCGGCACCGAAAGATCTACATTACATGTACATCCAATTCTGTACATGTATTTTGGGCTGGGTGTAGTCTAGGCTACAAAATTTGTAGGCGTGTTATTTTATACATCATGAGCCACCAGCAAAGCGGCACGACGTATTTGTGTGGTTCACTGTCACATGGAAAGGCTACAAACACCACAGATCACACTATTTCAGGTTCACTAGGCAACGCACATCGCGCATGGATGGAATACCAGTACCTTTGGCGTATTTCCTGACGCACTCCAGCGCCACTTTAGCCTCGGCGTACGCGAAGAACGTCTCGGCGACGATGAAGTCGCAGCCGCCCTCCTCCATTACCCACTCCAACTGCTCCTGTGGGGTACAAAAAATGCTGTTGGAAAAGAAAGCTAAACTATACATTATCGTCTCCAGAACCATTCTGGATACGCATGGACTATCCAGGACCGCGCCTGAGAATGGTTCTGGATAAAGCGCGGTTCTGGATACGCATGGACTATCCAGGACCGCGCCTGAGAATGGTTCTGGATAAAGCGCGGTTCTGGATACGCGTGGACTATCCAGGACCGCGCCTGAGAATGGTTCTGGATAAAGCGCGGTTCTGGATACGCGTGGACTATCCAGGACCGCGCCTGAGCATGGTTCTGGATAAAGCGCGGTTCTGGATGCGGTGGACTACCAGGACCGCGCCTGAGAATGGTTCTGGATAAAGCGCGGTTCTGGATATCGATGCGGGTGGACTATCCAGGACCGCGCCTGAGCAGCACGGTTCTGGATACAGCGTACCTTAAACATGCCGTGAGCGCGCTCCTCCCAGCCCGGGTCCGCCGGGTTGTAGATGTTCAGGTTGCAGATGTTTCCCGCCATCAGCGTGCCGGTGTCGTCCGCCACCTTCCTGGCCAGCCGCAGCGCCGTCCGGTTGATCCGCTCCAGATCGGACTCACGGCCGATGATGCGCATCTTTTCCCGATGAGCGTAGTACTGTAACAATTGTGCAGACGCACTAGTGATGAGTTCTTTTTCATATCCACTAAAACTATATTCATGCAACACATTAGCCTCTGCCAGGCTTCGGGAGGCGACTGGAAAGAGTAAAAAATGGCCAAATAGAGAGATAACATTTCAGGGGAGTTGGTCCACCAGAGAGTACAGTTTGCCGCACCCGAACCGTAGTCTCTAGCTGACCTAATCATCTAGCATGTTATCTCTCTCTATATTTGGGCAATTTCTACTCTTTCCAGTCGCCTCCCGAAGCCTGGTAGAGGCTAGCAAAATATCCCTTATCCTTCAGTGGCTACTACGTGTATAATCCGAGTCCCTTTACATGCACGTTGTCATGGCGACGCGTCGCTTGCCCCTCATAGTTCCTTGACCCGTAATAAGGACAGCACCACATCGCTTCGTAAAATGCAGCCTTCATCAGGTCCGAATGGTCACTCCTTCAGGTCACGTGACCTGCTTTTTTTTCAGATGATTTTTTTTAAAGATGAGACGCAGTACATACCGTGAAGGCCAGCACCACGTCGCTACCGGCGTGCACAAACTCCCTATGCAGACCCTCCACCAGTTCCGGGTGCTCGATGACGACTTCCGGCACAAAACCGCCGGCCTTGAGGTAACCGCGTCGCTCGAACTCGAACAGATATCCCTCCGCGCAGATCACACTCTCGCCGTCCTGCAGGCGCGCAAGCAACCCTGGGAAATACAGGCAATACTTCTGTAGATTGTTAAGCCATTCTTTATGTGTTGCCGTAATATTTTGTCCTGCAAGCCCTTAAGTTTGTAATAGCCACTGGCTAGTTGGGCTGCCCTGGCTGGGAGGGTTGAACAGCCAAACCAATAAATACATAAATAATGAAATAAAATAAAATAAAATAAAATAAAATAAAATAAAATAAAATAAAATAAAATAAAATAAAATAAAATAAAATAAAATAAAATAAAATAAAATAAAATAAAATAAAATAAAATAAAATAAAATAAAATAAAATAAAATAAGGTGAATAGGTGCAATCTCCAAGCAGATATGGGGTAGAAACCTGGCTGGCTGTGCCGTTTGTTTTGGTTTTTGATAACATGCTGTTGTATATATAATAGCAATAGCTATTCACGGTAACAGGTGTATAAATGGGAAAAATGAAAACAAGTTGACTACAGGAAAATTGAAAAAGCGACATTGTCAAATCTAAAATAGTGAATGAATAAATGAATGAATGAATTTTATTGCTGGACAATCGTACTACATGGTACAATGTGTGGCAGTAATACAACTGTGCTACAAAATGTGGAATCCAGCATTGCGCGATTATCTTTACTAGTAACTAGATCGGAATTGATGATAGAATCATAGATAGTGATTACCTCCCTATGCTAATTACTTTCCTTAACTTTAAAAAGTCGTCTCCCCCTACCCGCTGTTTGAGTGGTATAATCCACCTGCCACACCTTTAGGCCACACCAAGTAAATTTTATGGATGACGTCCTTTGGAGACCCTAAATCTAATGCGAGAGGGCGAAAAAAAAACAAGAAGGGCCCTAAAAAACAAGATGCCTAGATAAGAAATATTGCACTGCTGACAGGACCGTCCTGTCTGTTAATAGTTCCAAAAATGGCACTGTTTTGGAGCTATTGACAGGATTTTTTTCAGTGCCATTTTTTTTTTTTTTTCATTTTTGTTTCCATTTTTTAACCAGGCACAGGCTTTCGGCGTTACGGGTTTCACATCAATCTGACGATTTGCGGCACTGTCGTGACTCTTTGGTCATAGTTACAGGAAGTGGAATTTCTTGTTCTTTTTCTAGGAACAGGCCAAAATCAATGCGCGCGCGGACGTCATCCATAAAATTTACTTGGTGTGGCCTTATCTATGGCCATCTGGGCGTGTTGCCAAACCCACAACGAAAACACAACATGAGCAGACGGACGTGTTCTATTTACGCAGCGACAACGTCACAGGGTCACTGAACTAAGGAAAAATAAGTAGCTGCCACAGTGTCTAGCCTGGTGGTCCGCTCTGGGTCCGCTCCCCAAGATCCGCTACATAGCCTAGCGGATCTTGGGGAGCGGACCAAACCTAACAAGGCTGGACACCAGGCTACCCAGTGTCCACGTCTCCATGACTTAAGTCTAAAACAGGGCTGTTTTAGTCGAACTCAAAGCGTGTGTGTAAAAAAAACGTTTCCTTTTGTATTAAAAAACACACGACGACCCCAATTTGTGTCAAGGCCATTTAGTGTTGAATTGAATCGCCGCAAGTTGGTGGAATAATTGAGTAATACATCGCGCTAAACACGTCCAGGTCTCAAAATACACCAACATTCACTCCAGCTATTCCAGTACTACTGTAGTCTGTAACGCTATAAGACACGACAAATTTGTAGATTGTTTTAAAAGCCACCTTATATGTTGCTGTAATGTTTTGTCATGTCTTGTCTGCAGGGCAAGCCCTTTGTAATAGCCACAGGCTAGTTGGGCTGCCCTGGCTGTGAGCGTTGAACAGCCAAACCGATAAATAAATTTTGCGTGCAGCCTGTAAGTAACGCTATATGACACACATGTTGACAAATATACGGAACAACTTTCTACCGTCTACCACAGGTGTTTTATATATATACTTACCCTTGGGCTTGGCTTTAGACATGGTTGAATCTCAGCTGGTTGCAACAGGAACTGCTTCTCCACGTATCCAAGACCGTAGGATCGTTGCTGGAACTACGAACTAGTCAGGCCCGAGGTGGAAAAACCGGATCGAACCGCCTTAAACTGGTGTACAAAGAGCGGGTTGACCCTGAAACTAACAACACCGCGTGCGAGCGGACCTTGACAAAAAACACCGCTGCGGTATTGATTCCTCCCCGCAGACTGTACGACTGGGGTTTTCCCTTGCTTTTATACTTTCTCTAATGGCATATCGCTTCTATTTGTTCTTGATTATGCCATAAGAGAAAAAGCGCATTGCAAACGCCCCCCCCCCCAAGTCCCAATAGCCAATAGCACAGCCTACATGGAGGCTAAGCATTGCTTCATCGCCCTTTATACCTGAGGACATTTCTAGACTTTGACCTCGGTTAGTTTTCTGATACGCTAGCTAATCTCCAAGCAGATCCCAGGGTCGACAAAAATTGAGTATTACATTGGCCAGGCAGTATCCAATGTCCATTGGCCAGAGAGGGTCCATGCTGAGGACAGATCTAGACTTTGACCTCCGTGAGTTTTCTGTAAACAACGCCACAAAACTGACGACATCCGAAAACTTTGCTGCCGCTGCCAAATTTGTAGACTGAAAACCACTGAAACCATGGCTTCATATGTTGGCCAGGGCCGCTGTATCCTACCAAGGACATTATACAGAAGAGGCTTGGTCCTACCTTGGCCCATATAACGGGACGTGTTCGTGGCTGGACAATGGGGATGCCGTGCGTGTATGATCTTGTCATTATGTACGATAAAAGAAAACACTGCCAACATACAAAACGCTCTCATACGAAGACACAAGGACTGTGTATAAGAATACCCACTACTTAGGACTGTGTATAAAAAAATACAAGGGCTGTGCAATGAGTATTTAATCCGTACGTAGGTCGAGATAAGAGTAACGCTATTAAACACACAGTTGGGGTCACATCATACAAACAGTTGGGATTTGCGTCATACAAACAGTTCGGTTTACGTTACGTTACTGGTAACTCTTCAAACATCGGAATGGCACTTTCTCAATAAAAACACGGATATCAGAACTTGTTTTTGCGGACCTTCTGTGTGTTAAACTTGACGAGAGCGGGGTCTGTGCATCAGAACTTGTTTGGCATCTGTCATGAAAGTCACGTGATTGGTCATGCGGACCTGATGAAGGCTTAAGGCCGTTATTTTAGTGGTAAACATCGGAATGGCCATTTGTCGATAAAAAAACATGGAGATCAGAACTTGTTTTTGTGGGTTTCCGTGTTGAAGTTGACTAGAGCGGGGTCTGTACATCAGAACTTGTTTGAGATCTGTCATGAAGGTCACGTGATTGGTCATGATGAAGGCTTAAGACCGTCATTTTTGTTGTAAACATTGGAATGGCACTTAAATTTCGATAAAAAAACACGGATACAGAACATAACTTGTTTTTTGCGGACCCCCTGAGTGTTAAACTTGACGAGTGTGGGATCTGTAGCCTGGTTACCAACCTCTTATAGCTCCCGAGATCTACAGCAAATTGTGGAGAGGCTGTAGGATTAGGGAAATAATAGGATTGGTGACCAGGCTATGGGATCTGTGCATCAGAACTTGTTTTCACGGACCTCCTGCGTGTTAAACTTGACGAGAGTCGGGTCCGTCCCGTAGTAGGCGTGCTTGGACATGTCGGCCGTGTAGCGGCTGGCGGGCGGCTGGCGGCCCAGCGCCTCGGCCATGGCGCGGGTGAAGTGCGAGGCGTTCCCGCAGCACAGCCCGAGGTACCGGATCCCGAGGGCGTGCGCCCGCCGGCTCCACGCCGCGATTTGAGACCGGCTGCATAGCCAAGGGTCGAGGTCCAGAGGAAACGCCACATTACCTGCAATTGCAACAACGTCGCTGATTTGTGAGTGTAGCGATTTGGCAACTGTTGCGACAAAATTGAGATATCGTGTTACATGTTAGAACCAACTGGCAACATTCGTGATAGAATTATGATATCGTGTTACATCTCATCTTAGTCATAACGGACTGGCAACGTTTTTGACAGAATTAAGATATTGTGTTACATGTCATATGCAACTGGCAACATTTGTGACAGAATTGGGATATATGACACAGAAAATGTACACAATGTATCAATATCAAATTGCGTTACAAATTGAGCGAGTGTTCGTCACCGTGTTCGTCCTTGAGTGTGAGGAAGTTCGGGTCGGCCTCGTGAGTCTGGTACGGCACGGGAACTGCAGCCAGGGGGATCTACACGGGGTGGGGGGGGGGAGCTGTAGTTAGTCACTTGAAATACAGCAACAAACTCTCAAAAATATGTCAGATCTACTTTTCTTTTTTTTCCTTCGTCAGTAAGGTCCGGATGTTGGAGCATTAATCTACAATGGTGATGTTGATCTTACCTTGATGTTTTCCGCGGCCTGCTCGAGGACAGGCAGCATGGTGGGCGGGCCCCGGCCGCAGTTCAGCCCCACCACGTCCGCCCCGGCCGCCGCCAGGTCCTGCAGGGCCTTCTGGATAGGAACGCCATCTATCAGCTCCGAGTGGCGCTGCAGGTTCAGGGTCACCACCACGGGTAGACCTGGACAGGTGAGACCACAGGTGAGCAAAGGTGAAACGTGCAGGACCATAGTTATGTTTACCGAAGGAAAACGTGTTGTTTTTGCTCAGTTTCCTCTTCTTCTTCTCCAAGCACTAACCTCTGACCTGATTTGTTGACGTCTGTCACCATGGTAACTGGTGTTGGGTTACATTTACATAATGTTGCAATCTTATAGTAGGAGGGATTTAGACTCCTGTCTGACCATAAATATTACCCATTCCGTACTGTATCTATCTCACCTGCTCACGTTTCGATGTCTGTCAGACACCTTCCTCACAGCTTCTGACTGGAGTTCTGCTTCTCGCCACTATATGTAGCCGATTGCAATGAGGAAGGTGTCTGGCAGACATCCAAACGTAAGCAGTGGACCGGAGATACAGTACGGACTGAGTAAGAAGAAAATCCCAATATACAATGTCCTACCAACCTGATGAAATTATTTTCGGTAGACATTGAAAAGTTGGTAACGTAACGTTAGACATTGAGAATTTGGTAACATAGATATTGAGAACTTGGTAACATATATAGATACTGAGAAATTGATATAGTAGGCATTGAGACGTTAAAGAAAGTGTGGTGGTAGCCTAGTTACGCAGCACCTTTGGCGTACTTCCTGGCGCACTCCAGAGCGAACATAGCCTCGGCGCAGGCGAAGAAGGACTCGGCCACCACGAAGTCTGCTCCGCCCTCAACGGCCCACTCCAACTGCTCCTGGGAACGAGAAGTGCAACAACTTACGGATTACCCTGGGGACGAGAGACTGAACAACTCAGGACTGAACGAGGGCGTAACCAGCGGCACTAGACAGAAGCAGATGGAAGGCAAGGATGGCCCGCCTCAGCAGCAGCTGACATGCGGTGGAGGAGAGAGAGAGGGGGAGAGGGAGAGAGAGAGAGCGTGTGAGAGAGAGAGAGTATCAGTAGGTTTATAATCAGTAGGCATACAATCATAGCCTCCACCGGGCTTCGGGAGGCGGGTGGAAATAGTAGAAATCGGCCAAATGTTCTCTCCCAGCAGACAAACTCCCCTGGCACGTTTGGTCGATTTCTACTCTTTCCAGCCGCCTCCCGAAGCCTGGTAAAGGTTATCAGTCACCCAGAACCTACTAGTCATAGTGCCCCACGACACAATGTCATATGCATGTCGTATCCGTAGACTATGGCCTTATAGCAGAAGATCCCTATGACATGCTGTGCCCACTAACCTTGAACATGGCCTCTGCCGTGTCCCTCCATCCGGGGTTGTTGGGGTCGAACAGGTTGAGTTTGCAGATGTTTCCCGCCATGAGGGTGCCGGTGTCGTCAGCCACCTTCCTGGCCAGCTGCAGAGCCGTGCGGTTCAGCCGCTCCAGGTCCGCCTCCCGGCCGATGATCCGCAACTTTTCACGATGTAAGTAGTGCTGGGGAGGGAAAGGGGGGGGGGTATACTTGTGTATGATTACAAGGTAAGGAAGGTTACAACGCATAATAACTGTCAGCCACCTTCCTGGCCAGCTGCAGAGCCGTCCGGTTCAGCCGCTCCAGATCCGCCTCCCGGCCGATGATACGGAGCTTCTCACGATGTAAGTAGTGCTGATCATGAGGAGGGAAACAGTGTCAAGAACTGTGCCTATCTAGTTCTATGTCTGAAATGGTTATGGTTAGGATCAGGCACGGTTCTGGATAGTCTCCATCGTACCAAGAACCGTGCCTATTTGGCTTTATGTCTTTATGTCTAGCTTTTTGCGGAATTTATGAGTCGGCACTGTAGTAGCCTGGCATGGGTGCCATCCTCCGGAGTTACCACCGGCTCCACATTGTCGCTAGCTACCATGGAGGACGTGATATATATTTTTTTTTCTGAAAACGGGAAAATCAATGCGCTTGCGGATGTTATCCATAAAATTAAGACGGTGTGGCCTTACCGTTAATGCCAGCACCACGTCGCTACCAGCGTGCACAAACTCCCTATGCAGAGCCTCCACTTGCTCGGGGTGTTCTAGGACGACCTCCGGCACGAAGGTTCCGGCCTGCAGATATCCTCTCCGCTCCAGTTCTAACAGGTAGCCACCTGCACAGATGACGGTCTCATCGGCCTGCAGTCGCTCCAACAGACCTACAGGGGGCGCAACTGCACTGGTTAGCTCCAGCAGACCTACAGCAGGCCTGCCGTTGCTCCAGCTGACCTACAGGGGGCGCAGGTTGGCAGGTCTACAGTACAGGGGCGGTACGTGTACTACTGTACTGTACAGAGCTGATATATCCAGAGCCGTGCTTTATCCAGAACCAAACTGGATAGTCCACGCGTATCCATAACCGTGCCTGGGGCACGCCTACGTTCTTGGATACGCGGGAGACTATCCAGAACCGTGCCTGATCCTAACCCTAACCCATTCAGGCACAGAACTAGCTAGACACGGTTCTGGATACGATAAGTAACCAGTGTTGCCCTGCGGCATGACAAGGTTCCGTGTACAAAGGGAGACCCGCTGACACTAAACTAACCACACGACTGTGGAACCTAAGTTAAACATTAGCCGGGTTGTCCATAGCTTGTATGCCTATGTACGTATTCCTTAATTACATTTTCTAGGTCCTCTAGACATACAGAATATGTCTACAACGACATAAACTTGTATCCAGGCAATTGGGAAACATGATATACATATTGCCACCCAACTATACCCTCATTACATATATTTCTTACGAGGCAACTAACTATATTAACTGATGTCTGATGCAATGCCATACTAGCAGGTCCGTCAGCAATATACTATTACTAAGTAATTTTCGAAACTACCTGAATGAGGTATGACTACAAGGCTATTAGTTTAACACGTAAATCTCTTGTAACAGCTAAAATTCTGCATTAGTTCAACGGATTAGCGCACCTTTAGGCTTTGGCTTCTCCATGGTGCCTGTGGCTGTCCCTCCCCCTGTATGTACACAGACTACAAATCACATGTACTCACACATTACACACACATTACCCTACTGACCCCTGAACCTTCACTCAGTACCAGTGTGTTTACTTCGCCGAAAAGAGGACGTCGCTCTGCTACTATACTGCATTGCATATACCTTCATATTGTCTCATACGCGCATAGACGTACGTTTCAGTATAGTGTAATATGTTCATCGCTGGAAATACGTTTAGGCAACGCGAACCGAAAATCATGACGATCATGTGATGCAAACAACAGTTTCTGCTTCAGTACCATAGAAAGTCGCCAGGGGATCATAGCCGACATTCGGATATGGAGTATGGTATGATGAATAATCTACTCTTCAAATTCATTTCTTTACATTTTCGTGTTTTTTTTTCGTTTTAATTTTGGCATTCTAGAACATTGGCATCGTCTTCCGATATTTTTTTTTGCAACTCTGCATATAGTTTCTTATTTTGCAAAAATTTTGTGCGATTTACAGTATGATTGAAAACTTGGAACATGGCTTACATGATAATGTACATGAGTTCTACATGGCTATAAACTAGAGATCCATCCTCAACTCATCATGCAAGGCTGACATCTGCTTGAATATTGCCCCTTGGCTGACCCTAAACAAGCCCATGTCGTCAGCACGTGGCCGGGTTCCAGTTGGAGTGTGTACAAAAACTTGTTATTCAGCGAGTAACCTTATTATGTCGCATTCAATCCAATGCGTATAACACAACTAGTACTTGTGTGGCTGCTTCCAATGTGAACAACTCTACACCAACTTTACTGTAAGTACAAACGGGCGCGGTACATGAGTTAATCGGACCTTTACCCTCTTGGCTGACCCTAAGCCAGTTGGATCCATTCCAGTTGGCTTGTGTCAGTAACTTGTTATTCAGCGAGCAATCTTATTATTTCCGGATGTCGCATTCAATCCAATGCGTACAACACAACTTGTGTAGCTGGTTCCAGTGTGAAGAGCGTCTATCATTGAGCAACTTTGCTGTAAAACCTAGCGGGAGCGGTTCAGTTAGGCGGATCTTTTCCAGCTGGTAGCGGACCGAGTCGACCTCTGTGAGGTGAGCGTGAGCCAGTCTTCACTCTGTATTAGCTCAGTAACTAGAACACTTGGTATTAGCCTAGTATAGTATCCTTGTATGTTCCTTATGTATGTATGTCTAAGTCAAGTAGTGTATCTTTTGTCTACAGTTTTCTACATACGTTTTGTGTCTGTTAAGTCTTGACCTGTACCTAGCCCGTCGTGGCATGAATGTACAATAAAGGTATTTCATTTCTTCACGCAAGCACAAGGCACCAAGAGTTAAACACCTGAGGAAGTTGACTCTGAACTGAACCAAGCGTAAACCAGCACCAAGAGACCTCGTCTAGCGATATATTAGACGTTAAACAAGGACAACAACAACATGGCGGCTGGCCGGGTGGACCCGGAAGTTGTGCGGGAGTACCGGGAGAACGGCGCCGTGTGCCTCCGGGGCGTCTTCAGCGCGGACTGGGTGGACAAGATCAGGAACGGTAGAACTACAGATGTCTCAATATGTTATATAATTTATGAATGGTGAATACTGAGTGTTAAGGGGGTACAAGACATGTACAGGACAGCATGGAGGATTGGAGTAGTGAGACACGCAAATATCATGTGCTTTTGTTATGGTGAACGGTAAACATTAAGGACGCTGCGTTAAACGTTATATCAATGACGTGTCAACGGGACGTCCTTCGCTTAAGGCCAATAAAACGTTTATAGCAATATCACCCTCTCCCTCTGAGGGCTTTATTAAAGACTTATAGTCATATTAGCCCCCCTCCCCTTGAGACCTTTCCATTTGTTGTCACCAGGTGGTCAGTAGGTCACTGACCGCTAGGGCGATCGTACGGAGAGAGACACATAGCAATCTTCATCACTGAATGTTAACACGTATAATGGAGAACAAGACTTGGCTAAACAAACAAGCAAACAATCATTTGTTTGTCGGCCAGGGCGGACCCGGAGCTTACTTTAACGACTACTGCAACTGGCGGCATGTTTACGGCATGTTTGTTTGTTTGTTTGTTTGTAAACAGGTATAGAGAAGAACAAGGCCAGCCCCAGCCGATACAGCGAGAGTTTAGTCGGCCAGGGCGGACCTGGAGCCTACTTTAATGACTACTGCAACTGGCGGCATGTTTACGGCATGTTTGTTTGTTTGTTTGTTTGTAAACAGGTATAGAGAAGAACAAGGCCAGCCCCAGCCGGTACAGTGAGAGCCTGGTTGGCCAGGGCGGACCTGGAGCCTACTTTAATGACTACTGCAACTGGAGAAGCATCCCGGAGTTTCAGGACTTTGTGTACAACAGCCCAGCTGCACAGATAGCCGCTCAGCTCATGGACTCACAGGTACTCACTGCTCCTTTTCCAAACAAGATAGTACGATGGTCTCAATCTCTTTCTCTAAGTTTTTCTTTCATCTTTCTCATGTTAACGATGCCAATAACGACAGTCCAGCAGCACAGATAGCCGCCCAGCTCATGGACTCACGGGTAGGAGAGGGGAACCATCTATCTCTCTATATTCCTACTCACGATCAAAGAGAACATGGCTACTTAATTTCACCCACATTGAGGTACAACTTCATAGACTAAGGGCTAAATTGCAGTTGACGGTACATTTATCACAATGACACAAATATTTTGTCCACGACAGCAGAATTCACAACATGCCAGCTCATTTTCCAAATGAATACAAGATAGCACTGTTGCCCCCATCTCTTTCTCTATTCTTGCATCTTTCTCCTATTAACGGTACCAATAAGACCTTGCCACTGAAAGAATATTGTCGAGCCATTTGAAATTGTGTCGTGTTTTTCAGACGGCGATTTTCTACCACGAGCACGTCCTGACGAAAGACCCGGGAACCTACAAGACGACTCCCTGGCACCACGACCAGGCGTACTATCCTGTGGACGGGGACAAGGTAACTTTGGGCTGTCTGTCGGTTATGTCCACTTCTGGAGGTTCGAGACGCTTTTTGAGAGTCACTAACCCTGTGTGGGTGTGGGTGTATATGTGTGTGTTTGCATAAGTGTTTGTGTGTGTGTGTGTGTGTGTGTGTGTGTGTGTGTGTGTGTGTGTGTGTGTGTGTGTGTGTGTGTGTGTGTGTGTTTGCATAAGTGTTTGTATGTGTGTGTGTGTGTGTGTGTGCATGCGTGTGTGTGTGTGTGTGTGTGTGTGTGTTTTCGGCCTGTTTCATGACTCTGTGATATGGTCTATGCTTCAAGATTTCCTAGAAGTAGCCAGGATTTTTTTCTCTCTTCTCCCACTAGTACTTATCGTTGTATTACAGGTTTGTTCCATCTGGATGCCGGTTGACCCCGTCTCCATGGAGACGTGCGTGCAGTTCGTGCGCGGGTCGCAAGGGTGGGGCTGGTTCTTCCCGCGGAAGTTCGCCACGACGCTGAACTACGGGCTGACGGGAGACGACACGGGCGGGAAGGTGTTCCGGGACGTGCCGGACATAGACGGGGACAGGGACAAGTACGACATTCTCACCTGGGACGTACAGGTATGTCTCACCTGTACAGGTACGACATTCTCACCTGGGACGTACAGGTACGATATTCTCACCTGTACAGGTACGACATTCTCACCTGGGACGTACAGGTACGATATTCTCACCTGTACAGGTACGACATTCTCACCTGGGACGTACAGGTACGATATTCTCACCTGTACAGGTACGATATACTCACCTGGGACGTTCAGGTATGTCTCACCTGTCCGGACACCAAAATTAAAGTATTATGTTGTTGTCATGTTTACAGAAGGAAACATACGTTTGTTGTTGTTTTTTTTGCGCTGTTTCTTCTTCTTCAAACAAATAAAGTCCATGACCTGCTGGAGATTAGACGGCTGTTACCTTGGTAACTGGTGCTGTAGCAGACACCCGGCCTGTGGTGTTGGCCTAATAACCCTACAAACAGCAGTAGGGTTATTAGGCTAGTCCATGTGCGAAGGTAAACACTATGCATTGCTTCGTAAATGTTACCTTTTAATTTGTTTATTTGTTTGTTTGTTTATTTATCGTTTATTTGTTTGTTTACTTATGTATTTATCGTTTGTTTGTTTATTTGTTAGCCCGGAGACTGTATCGTGTTCCACATGAAGACGCTGCACGGTGCGCCCGCCAACACGGCCCAGACGCCGCGCCGCGTCGTGTCCACCAGGTATCTGTATCTGTGTCTGTATCTGTATCTGTATCTGTATAGCTGGTATAATCTCCCATCGGCGTAACACACCAGCTTCACAGGCAAGCGGCACGGCTTTAGCTGGCTACATTACACCGAACGACTTGTTACACCTAACCCTTGAACATCTAACTCTAAACACTGTTTAAAGCTATCTAATGATAATGCCTTTACTGTACTCGGTGACAGCGAGTTCCACTCTGTGTACGATCTACTTATTTAAGACTTAACATCTCTACTTAAATCTGATATACAATCGTTGGTATACAGGATAAAGAGTGAATATAAAAGACTTGGTTGTATAAAAAAAAGAGTCATCCTCCTTACTCAATGACTATTTACTATCATGAAAGTTCATCTGTGTTGGTAGTTACATGTTAAAAGTTAAAACTTTTGGTCGAACACAATAGCTTTCGACCAGTCACTCTGGTCTTCCTCAGTAGACTGACCCAGTGAAGCTTGTCACGTGGCTTCTCTGAAGTGTGTCGTCAACACTGGGTCAAAGGTATCTGGTAGACGATGTCGGCCCCCGTCGCGGTTCAGTGAAGGGTGATGGGCCCTGATATATATAGCCTCGTTCACCCCACTCAGGAAATAGTCTTGTTCAGTGTCCAAATGTCAATGACTATTTTTCTTGTCCACCAGGTGGCTCGGTGATGACGCAGTTCTGGCGCCCAGGCCCTGGGAAGTCTCTCCGCCAATCACAGGCGGCCTTACATACGGGGACAAGATGGCGTGCGACACATTCCCCGTCATATGGAAGCGAGACTGAGATTGGCTGGTCGGGATCCGGACGAACTTTTTTAAAAATCATTGTTTATTGTTTATTTCATGGATCTCCATCAGTGAGTAAATATACTGCACTATTCGTCCTGGAGTCGTAAAAGTTACAAACACATATCATTACAAACTTATTAACACATTAGACGTACATAACACTCACAGAATACTAGTACTTACAACCTGTAACGCGCGTTAACTATTACTTAATCTATCCTTAACCAGCCTAAATACGACAATGTAAAAAGGGAAAAGAATGGTTGAAAAGTCAAGGTGATACATATGATACATAAAAGTCATATATTTACTAACTAGTAAAATCATTTTTTATTCACAAATATAAGAAAATAACATTGAGTTCAGTTTGAAATAATTCAATCTTCAAGATACTGCTCGCCCACATTTATCGTAGCTTGTTGTACGATTTTCTTTAAATGCTGTAGAATTTTCAGACTGGCCATAAGGATATAAAATAGTGATTTTGATTTGATTAATTGAAATTGCAACAGTACAATGCACGCGGAACAGAGGCAGATGTTTCTGGTGTTGTGTCCCGCACATAGAAACTAGTACTGGACAGAAAATACTCATTTTCACTTGAGTCTAGTGGGGAAAGTCGTGTTAAGTGCCTTTCCCAATACCAAGGGCACAAGATCGGTGACATGTCAGTACTCGAACCTCAGGGACCTCTTGGTTCGGAGTCGAACACGCTGTCGCTACGCTACACGACCCCACGACACAAGATTTTGCAGGACACTATCCCAAGAATGCCATCAGTTTTAAATCCCTTAGCGGTCCGTTGTACGTACATAAACGCATGAATGGGGACAAGTAAAGAAACAACCCGACAAGTGTTTTGCTTGACAACAGGGCTGCAGTACTCCTGTATTCCGCATGGCGAGTACTGTACGCATCTCTCCATCATCACAGCGTTTGCGACATTGTTCCGGTAAATATTTCTTTGTGTCCCTGAACGCTCTATTTCCAGCCGCATATTATACCATTATGCTCTGCTTTTCCGCGGCAAAAAAGCCATAAATTACCGTCATATTAGGACATATCCTGTAACAGTGGGAAACAAAGGACTCTCCGTATTACTGGGCAACTCTAGCCGCGTAACTGCAACCCAAAACCCGCTGTTAACATGGCGAGAGTGCAAACCTAGAAAGGCGTGCCGAGGTCCCCTTGTCTTAGCTACGGCGCCTGTTGTTGTGCTGAATAGTAGTAAATAGAGTGAGATAGAGTAAACATGTGTGAGGTGTTTTATTCTCACGTGTGTTTAGTTCGCCTGGTCTTGTCTTGGGTACGTCTTTAGTTCTAAGGTGGATCTGTAGGTACAGGTAAGGAGTGCTTGGAAGGTCCACCTGTCGGAGCGTTTACACCGTGATTCAGGTGTTGTACCTGATACACCTGGAGTCGCCACAGGTGAGCGCAGGTGTGTAGGTGAGTCCAGGCGTTGAACTTGTAAACTGAGTGTCAGTGGGGGAAAAGCACACGGACGGTGTTGCGGTGTCAACAAACGTGAGGGAAAACATCGCTGGATCGTCGAGTGCGGAAATATTTTCCTTTCCGTCGTGACAAACACTTTTTTGAGTGTTGTGAGTTCCCGCCTGTAGTTACCTCAAGATGGTTTAGAGTATAAACAGTTTTTCTGTTTACAATTGCAAGGACGTCCAAGGTCGTCGAATTCGAACCAAGATGGCGGCAGAAAACATTGCCGGAGTTGACTAGTGCATGGAGACTTTTTCGCCTTTAAATACGTGAGTTGCAACTTCCCGCCTGCATGTACTAAGTAGTACTACTTGATGGATTAGAAAATAAATAGTTTGCTGCTGACAAGGACGTCCAAGGTCGTCGAGTTCGAACCAAGATGGCGGCAGAAAACATTGCAGTGCGATGAGATATTCTTTCGTCGTGAAATATACTACTTGTTCTAAGATCCCGCCTGTACACCTAGTACCTGTTGATGAATTAGAATATAAATAGATTGCTCACAAGGACGTCCAAGGTCGCAGAATTCGAACCAAGATGGCGGCGGAGGTGGCGCCAGCCCGCACGGCGCTGTCCACCCGGAGTAAGTCGGACACGTCCGTGAACGACAGTGACCGGAGAGACTCGGTAAAGTCGGACACCTCCTCCTCCATGGGGAGTCGCCGCGCGCCCCGGCCGCCGATAGACAGGACGGCCCGCAGACGGAGTGTGGCCGTCATGGACCTGGGAACACAGGCGAGGAAACCCGGACAGGTAACATATACTCGTTGTTTTGACATAACGTTATATTCTGTGCGTAGTTTGCCGTATACATATATTCTGTTTGATGACTTTTCATACATGTATTTAGTTTTGTTGCTCTAAGTTGTAGTAGACGATACGAAAGGCCCTGTACTTTGGTCGAGAAAATAATGAATCATCATCTTTAAATTTGTTAAGGAAATCATCTTATAGTACATCTTAATTATGGAATTCTATTACTCTTTTTCATTTTCTGTCACTGCTTTTAAGTATGCATTGAGTTTATAGCTATATACCCGTGTTTTAATACCTGCAGGCCTTTAAGGCGACTCTGGGCGGGAGCCTGCTGGCCTCACGTCGGGGAACAGCTGCCTTCAGGAGCATGTTCCTGCCCAAACTGGACGCCGAACCGGAGGAACCTAAAATACCGGTACGTCTGATGCTTGTTCATGTTTATATATTTACCTCTGAGGCTCGTGGCCCAATATCCAACCCAAACATATAAAGATACTTCAAAACACACGAACAAAACTACCTATGTCCTACTTATAAAATACCGGTAGATCGATTTTCTTTACACAAATTGCAACAACAATGGAGCACTAGCTTGGCTGCAAAAGATACAAGCAATATAGCTGATATATCATATAGTGCAGTAGGTATAATCGACTGCGTCACGTTTTTATATATTACTGTGTTCTGTGTTATTCACGGTTTAAGAAAAACAATTGAATGAATCGTGAAGAACATACTAGTAGAATTATGTAGTAAAATATAAAAGCCTTGGTTATTGGTAAACATAATGTTTAACGTTGAGAAATCGTTGAGATTCCTCCGATGTTTTGCCCTCAGTACTAAAACACCCAAACAGCGTGAAAATAGTCGTGTTATCCTTGAAAACCAAACCGACGGCCACTTAACTACAGCCTCCTCGGTGAAGATAATTAATGATGATCCTTTCTAATCCGAACCCTACCCGTGTAAATCACCCCAATGGTGCAGGAAACATAATCGGCTTTAAGTCACGCTCAATCTCGCGTGTATAGGACACCGCCATTCAACAAACGCGCTGTCGCGTTCCTAAGGTAGCCTCCACCAGGCCTTTCTACGGGAATACGGATCGTAAAATTCGGCAAAAAAGAGAGTCAAATTGGCCCCAAGGGAGTCCGGCCGCGGGGAGGTAGTTTCTTGCCCTAACTGTGCGGCCAGTCAAACCTACAAGGCGGCCAACTCCCCTGGCAAATATTCTCCAGCGTAGTTAGTCTGGTAGAGACTATTCCTAAGGCCCCTATTCCACTAAGACGGCGCTCTTACTGCACTCTCTACCTCTACCTGACATTGGCCGGAGCGCCGAGAGAACACCGAAAGATCGCCAAGGTCGCCATGTTTGGAATATAAATAACTGTTATGCGCTCTCATGGCGCTCTCTCTGTGCTCACTATTGGATCGGCGTCCTCGGCGCTCTCACGGCGACGGTATTAAACGGTTCAAAACTAGAGGTGACGGCGCTCTTAGTGCGCTCCCTGTGCGCTCCCATGGCGAATCTCTTGGCGCTGTCTCTTTGCTCCGGCCAATGTCAGGTCGCAGAGAGAGCGCAGTGAGAGCTGGCCTCAGTAGCAGGCTTATAGAACTGGGGGTTTGGTGGTCTTCGGCTGTTTTCTGATTAGCCTCCGTAGCAGGCTTATAGAACTGGGGGTTTGGTGGTCTTCGGCTGTTTTCTGATTAGCCCAGTTCTAAAAAACGGGGGTAATTAAACCAGGCCGGCTAAGTTGTCTACATGCAATCAGAAAATAGCAGATAAAAGCTCCCAAAGATCATGTAGACCCCCCAAACCCCCATTTTTTGGCATGTTATGAAGGCTATGTCGTCGTCGTCCTAGTGGAATGGGGGCCTTGGCCAGATTTCCGGTGCGCTGTGCTTAAAATAACGTCGGAAAGGGTGAGACAATGGCCTTGCCACAATGGCCAGGTGTGTGCGACAGGTATGCCGACACACCTGAGTCGGAAGCCCTTTGTTCCCTTTAATGACACATGGTTATATAATGATGCGGCGATGGTGTTTCACCTGATTATAGTCATATCATAGGTAATTTACCACCGCACAAAGCGAGGGTGAATGTTTGAACTGAAAACTGAGTGCGTGTACTTTGTACTTGATACTCACAATACACGTCGGCAAACTCTACAGTTTTTAAAAGGCTACACCCTCTGCGACCAAAGATTTTGACAGCTGGTGATAGATCAAGAACGCTTTCTTTGCGTTTTGAGTGTTTTCTTGTCTCTTAAATGAGACTTTACAATTTGAATCATATTCTAATTATGAAACCAAGGGTCATCTGTGAACTATCCAGAATCGTGCCTGAGCATGGTTCTGGATACGGGCATGGTTCTGGATACGCGTGGACTATCCAGAACTGTATGTAAGCAGGGTCCTGGATATCACAACCCCCTCTCGTCCCCAGGGCATCGTGCGGTTCCGGAAGGCTGCGGGAGTCGTGCGGCTGCTGTGTATGGTCTGCATCGTCTGCAGGAAGTAAGTATCGCACTTAACACTGGTTATATCGGATGAACATGGATTTATTAGTAACATGTGTGTGTGTGTGTGTGTGTGTGTGTGTGTGTGTGTGTGTGTGTGTGTGTGTGTGTGTGTGTGTGTGTGTGTGTGTGTGTGTGTGTGTGTGTGTGTGTGTGTGTGTGTGTAGGGTTGGGAGATGGGGGAGAGTGTGTAGTGATTGCTATGTTGTATTTTGCAGGATCCTGTCCCAGACCATTATCGAGGGCAGCTGGCTGGCGATGGTAGAGGCGATCCTGCAGGAGGCTGAGCAGAGCGCTAAGCATGCCGGGAACCAGAGCCTGGGCTCCGGACAGCTGTCGTTCGACCCGCACAAGTTCAGGCGCTCAGGCAAGGACGAGGTGAGGGACTCGTATCCACTTCTATGCCTGGATGGAAAAGGGTTAGGGTTAGGATCAGGCACGGTTCTGGCGATCCGACGAGGACGAGATAAGGGTCTACCTGTTTTCGAGTATCATGACAATGCCGGTTGTTCAGCACCAAGGACAGGAACAATCATCCAATGTATGTAAATGAGGCCTGTACATGTCTATACTACTAGCTAGCTAGGTCTGTGCCTGAATGGGGTAGGGTTAGGATCAGGCACGGTTCTGGATAGTCTCCGCGTATCCAAGAACGTAGATTTGCCCCAGACACGGTTCTGGATACGCGTGGACCATCCAGAACCGTGCCTGAGCAATGCCCTGGATAAAGCACAGCTATTGAACATAATGGAAGTTCTAATGTTGTTAGAACTTTAGATAAAGTGAAACGATATTTCTCAAGAATGTTTCTCCCCGGCAGGACATGGTCCCGTCCCGAGTGAAGGAGCTGCTGAGGAAACCGTCCAAAGACCGGACAGAGGAAGAGGCAGAGACGGTTGGTACAGTTTTTTTTAACAATTTGTTTCGATCAGTACAAGGCAGAGAAACCACTTCTAGGCACATAGCTAAGTTCGGGTTACTAGAACATCATCTCTTCTCCCAAAGTCGCGACATATCAACACTGGAAACAAGCTGGACTCACTCAGAGTGAGGACTACCTAACCCAATAAGAGAAGCAGGGGTTACGAAGGCTGGTTCCTACCCAAATGTGACCGGAATGTTTTTGACCCACTCACGCCGAAAAGGACCCTTACTCTGCCCGATAACTGTGGTGGGTTCTAAAACGTGCTAGATTCGGTGAGGCCCATGTCAAGCTTTTAAGAGTCTTATCATCTTGAAGCCTTAGATTTTATTAATATGCTATTAGTTTTATGATTTAGCAAGCCCAACTCAGTCCGTGCCCCCCTCTCTCCCCAGATCGTGCGCACGATGCAGAAGATGCCCGACTTCGCGCTCTTCCCGTTCGAGATCCAGAAACAGCTGTGCCAGGTGGCCTGGTACGACAGGTATGTGGGGTTGCTGTTTGTTTGTTAGTTAGTTAGTTAGTTAGTTAGTTTGTTTGTTTGTTTGTTTATTACTACGTGTATTAAAAGAACTATAAGGTGAACATACGTTCCATCGCTGCTTTTGTTTACATGAATAATTCTTAGGCATATGTAAATCATTGGTGTTTTTTTAATATTACAATATTTGACCGTCTCGTCGTCAGTTTCGGGACGGGCCGTGTGATAATCCGGGAGGGTCATGCCGCGGACGGGTTCTACTTCGTCCTGTCGGGAAGACGTGAGTAAAGTTTGTTAATAGTAACTGCGTTCCTACCCAATGTACAGTACTTGTTTTACATGTCCTTCAGGACAGGGTTTCTCATAAGCATCTTGCTTTTTGCTCCATTCTCAATAGATAATTTATTATGAATTGAATAAAAAAGATGACTTAAGATTCGTGCAAAATTTGCATTTGTTCTTGTTTCTTAAACAGGTCTTACTTATTTTGTTCTCCTCAGTTGTGGAGAGCTACGCTGCTGAAGACGAGGCCAACACGGTCCTTCGACATGGGATGAAGTTTGGGGTAAGGAACACATAAATTAACAAACAAATAAGTGAATGAATAAATAAACAAAATTACACAGCCTTCTTGCGGTAATTATGGTCAGTACTTTTAAAAATATCGCCTTCATCCTGGGAAGGAGAGCTGTTGCCATAGTAACCGTTTACCGCCCTAGGAACGAGAGTTGCTGACGAGAACCAAGCGGAGGTCAACAGTACTGACTCAGGAGAGGACGGAGCTGTTCTGTGTGCATGCGCAGGTAAACGCATTATTTGTTTGAATTTTCTATGTGTTACAATGTCCTTGGAGGGAGAGGAAAATAGATGAAGATCGCCTTTACAAGTGTGACGTGCCAATTCTGTACACGTAGATAGAGAGTCTAGGAATCAGAAAATGTGTCATCATGAAATGTGCTAAAAAAAAGTATTATCAGACACTTACGCTATGATTGCAAAGTCTCACTTTCAACTAGAACATGATCGCTGAGCGACCGTGCAGCGACCAAATTGGATTTGTGTACACTTAGTTCCATAACTACTATACTATTTCAGCATGTGACTTAAATTGTTTTACTCTCCTTTTCAGGATTACGATAGAATATTCAACCTACAAGAGGACAGGGAGACCGCAAATTTAAACGTCTGTAGGTGAGTATGTCTTAGTTACAGGTGACGCTTAGAGACAGTCTCACTTTTTTTTAAATCTTGGTTTCCCTACATCACCAAAATTGCCTTATGTGTTACGTTCCAGGCATATATCAATATTCAAGCTCTGGCCGTTCCAAAAGCTACTGGAACATCCGGACGCCTGGACGATGCAGAACTACCAGTAAGTAGACCTGTCATTAAAAGCCTTTCACCACCATTGATAGAAATGCGAATCGTTTCTACAATGTTGTTGGGACTTATTCATATTTGAGAAAACTATTTGTTTATCTACTAGTATTAATTTTGTTTGGCTGTTGCCTATACATTTATTTCGAAATAGCCTTATAAACTGTGAATGAAAAATTATTTTTGTTTGCAGACCGGGTTTCGTGATAGTACCAGACAGTAGACGGTGCGACTGGATCTACGTGGTCAAAACGGTACGTAATGTTTCTGGATATTAGTAAAGAGAGGCAGACAGATAGAGATTTTAGAGGTAGAAAAACAGAGACAGGGAAATATGCCAAAGAAGAAAAAGAGGGACTGAAAAACAGGGTGAGCGAGGGAGACAAGAACAAAGAGTGAAAGACTGAGATAGAAAGACTGAGAGAGGGACGTGAGTGAAACGTGATCTTTTTCGCAACGATACTGAACACGCACAGCCTATCGTATCCAGAACCGTACCAATCTAGTCTATGCCTGAATGGGTTAGGCGTTCGGTCAAGCACGGTTCTGGATACGCCTGGACTATCCAGAACCGAGCTTGGTGGTTCTGGATAAAACTTGCACCTGTTCTCTCCCCAGGGCCAGTGTAAGGTGCTGAAGAGACTGACGCCAAACGAGGGTTGGACGGTGGACCGGCGGGAGGAGAACCGCCTCCTGCACAGCCGGGAGATGAGACGGACGCACCAGGAGCGGAAGGAACTCTTCACAGCGCAGGGCGACAGGGACAAAGGTGTGTTTGTTTGTTTGTTTGTTTGTTTGTTTGTTTATCCGTTTGTTTGTTTATTCATCTATGATCGGCAGTAGGCGAACATCCAGGAGAAAGGTTTGTTCATTTGTTTGACCTTGACCAGACGTCTGTCACCATGGTAACTGGTGCTGTAGCAGACGCCCTCTGGTGTCGGGTTACATTATGTAGCAAGTGACAGGAAAGAGTTGAAGGGGCTGGGCACCATGTATATGAATGTATTTGAGTAAGAATTAACAGAGCAGTAGTTTTTGGCTAGACCATCTTCATGTAAAGGTAAACATTGTGCGTTTGCTTACCTTTCTAGTACTTTGTTTGTTTGTTTGTTTGTTTGCTTGTTTGTTTGTTTGTTTACATGGTCCTCGACCCTCTCCACAGATAACCGCGCGTTGATCAGCGTGTTATGGCGGAACGTGTCCACGCCGCGAGCGCCGATCTCCGGGGTGCAGAGTTCACGGCTGGACAGCAGACATGGCGACAGGGAAAAGGTAAGGCTCTGAGCAAACACAACAAAAACTGGTACTCAAAGAATAGCATTAGTAATATAGACGTTTTGACATTTTCATACGTAGCATACACTACTTTTCGTCAGGAATCTATAGTTGAACAATTATTTATACAAAAACTATGAATTGATTATGTAAATGACAATCAGTAGTGGATGCTACTTGAAACGGAAAAGTTTTCCAAATCTACCCAGTTGTTTGACTCTTTGAGTAACTGTTTTCCTGTGTATCTCATTACCTGGATGTGTAATCAATCATCGACGTACACTGTAAGTATTGTCAGTTGTTAGACGAATGCTAGGCTACCCGTATAGGTAAGATATGAAAAGAGAAGTAACGGCATGTTTCTGTTTGCAGGGTCCGTCCCGGATGCAGCTCGGGTCGCGGATATTCGACCCGGACCCCGCAAAACCTGTTTTCGTGGTGCTGGACGTGCTGGGACCTGGACAGAGCTTCGTACGTACAACTGGTGTCATGTTCCAGAAACCTATTGTCCATTTTGTCTATGCGAATATACGAATATCACTCTCTGAGTGGATGTCACAAACAAGTCATGATATGAATTATTCACTATACACAAGTCTCCAAGATTTCTATCAATATATAAAATGAATCTTGCTCTGCAATTCCAGGGTTTTCGGTCGGTTCTACCCTCGTCGGAGAGAGGCGCCACAGTGAGTTTGGTAAGTCCAACATATCTGTAATGTATTTTGCAAAGGATTATCATGAGTTTGTTATTATGATATTAATGTTTATTTCAGTGTTGCTTTCTAACACACGCTACCGCCACACTGTGACTTGTACAGGACTTTACCTTGTGTTTTCACGTTGAGTGTTGAACACAAAAGACCTTACGATTTAGCCACCGCTTGATGTTCTGTGATTTCCAGGTCAGCAACTCTGCCGAAGTGATCCAGATTAAGAAGAAGTTCTTCCTGAAGTACGCGGACGAAACCGTCTTAAGTCTCATCAAAATGAAGGTCAGATTTCATCCTTAAAATCTCCGATGTACGTTTAATTTGAAGACATTGATTGATCGATTGATTGATTGATTGATTGATTGATTGATTGGTTCATTCATTCATTCATTCATTCATTCACTCATTTACTCATTAATTCGTTCATTCATTTATTCGTATGTCCCACATACTAGCTCTTAGTTGGTTTCATTCAACATTTTGCCCGACATGATACCCGTTGAACTCATATGTAGAATCTTGATATACTGACACCAACTAGTAATCTCATTTTTATCTACCATACACTGTACCTGTTACAATCGTTGTGCAATAAACTTTGCGGCAGAGTGCGCAACTCGGAACTAAGAGTCCCGGGTTCGAGTCCTGACATGCCACTGATCTTGTGCCCTTGGGAAAGGCACTTTACACGACTTTCCTCGCTTAGCTCAGTTGTAAATGAGTATTTCCTGTCATGTATTTGTCCCCTGTTTTGGTGGCGGCATTAATATAAGTTGAAAAAACTTCAGTGTGTCGTCACCACGTCTGGTGATTACATGTTGGAATAAAAAAAAAACTTTGACTTTATTCAATCTTTCATTTCCAGTACTCGCAGTACCCGTCGCAGGAGGACGTGTTGGAGAGTCTGTGGAAGGAGCACCAATGGGAGGACTTCAAGCGTGACGCGCTGCACCGCGCGGTTAGCAGTGTCACCTCGCGACAGGCCGCGGCACTGCAGAGACCCAAGACCACCAAAACAAACTGAGTTTATAGCTTCCATCCGCCTTTCTACGGGAATACAGATCGTAGAATTCGACAAAAAAGAGAGTAAAATTGGCCAAGGGAGTCCGGCCGCGGGGAGGTAGTTTCGTTGCGCGGCCAGTCAAACCTACAAGGCGGCCAAACTCCCCTGGCAAATATTCTCCTATATACAGCCAGCGTACGTCGATGAAGGTTAGACATCCAGGTAATACGATACGCCAAAAACAGTTACTCAAGCAACTGGATATGATTTTGAAAACGTTTTCAAAATCATATCCAGTTGCTTGAGTAACTGTTTTTTGGCGTACAGCCAGCGTAGTTAGTCTGGAAGAGACTACTGATTCTAGGTCAGCAAGAGGCTATTTGTGTTGGGCAAAGGCGATTCTTGGGTCCACGTGGATAGCACAGGGTTGTAGCTAACCTAGCTCTACCTGAAAGATTCCACTGAGGAACCAGACACTACAAAACTAGAACTTGTGTTCTAGAGGACTGTGGGGGGGTTTGGGAACACAATTTGAAAAGAAAAAAAAACATTGTTGCAGGTTGATGCTGCTACTTCGCTGCTACCCCTTTGGGGCTTTTATTTGGTACCGTAGTCTTAACATATTGGTTGGTATTTGTCATCGTAAAGCATTGAAAAGTTCACAAGGACGCGACGTCCTAAACATGAGTAGGGTGTACGTTGGGCTGTGCCCGTCGACATTGAATGTCGTTCTGTCCATATCAAAATGTGGAAAGATGATAGTAAGACCAATCCTGATAAAGGCTGCTACTAGATAGATCATAGATCATGACAGTCTATCGGTATTGTTACTAATGCTAACTATGATAATGAACTGATACGAATGTGAGACAGACTTTTGTTATACTTGATGTCCATCTGTTATTCACAGATTAGACGCTAGATGGCGCAAGTGAGCTGAGCAACTTTTCGATACTCTAGTTCTAATACATTTAATCCTCATACAATGACAACAATTTACCTCCAAAGACAGTGGGTTACATTTATAACTTAGAGATGATCAGCCAAAATTCTCAGGTCCGGGGCTGAACTTAAACCTGTACCTAAAATTGCTTGGGGACGCAGGCTCTTCCAAGACACTGACTGCCCGTCTGGGTTTGAGGGTGTCTAATTAGCCTCTACCAGGCTTCGGGAGGCGGTAGGAAAGGGTAGAAATCGATCAAATAGTGAGATAGCATGCTGAGGGAGTTGGGCCGCTAGAGAGTACATTTTGCCGCACCCGAAGCCTGATAGAGGCTAGTGTCTAATCATTACAATGCCAGATACAAGTAATTAAAGAGGGCGGAATGCTCCTATCTGTGAGCTGATACCGCGTGTCCTTTTCAGGGCTCGATGAGTATAATTACACCGTCTATAATGACGCATAAGTGACGGGACGGGGACATACCAAGGCGGGTAAATACCTCGGACATACCGACGTAAGTGGAAGAATTTGACGCTCGCGATTATCTCTGTGTTTTGTGTAAACAAAGGTTTTCAACTTTTCTAGCGTGGGAAAACGGTCCGATTGGCTGATCGACGTAGCCTCTGCCAGGCGTTGGGAGACGGCTGGAAAGAGCAGAAATCGGTCACCCGGATGCGGCAAAATGTTTTCTCTAGTAGACCAACTCCCCGGCATGTTATCTCTCTATTTGACCGATTTCTACTCTTTCCAGCCGAAGCCTGGTAGAGGCTAGATCGGCGTGTCTCAGAACTGATCCTTAGACGTTTAAAGCTCTTTTCTTAAAAAGTATCGCTGAACGACCATCGGGCGACCCGAGTTGGATTTGTGTCCGAGCTCCCAATCATCAAGTTCATCATAGAAATGTGATGCAAGAAAGTAAAAGTATGATTCGAAAGACAGCAAAACGCAGAAGACGTGAAACAAAATCATTCTTGATCTATGAAATTCGTTTCGCGATCTGTCATATGTTTGGTCGCTTATGATCAGTGGTTAGTGCCAAAAGGGACGTAACCACCAAGTATCTGATCCTTAGTTTTAAAGCTCTCTCTTCTTAAATGTTTCGAGTGGTAGAGATTAACTCTTTAATATGTGAATATTAAAACCGGGATTTTGGGCCGCACCTGTCAGAGACTGATACTTAAAATGGTTTTTAAATGGTTTTTTTATTGTCCAGACAGTACCTTGCAGTCGCAGCCTTTATACGGCTGAATTGATGCAGGGTATCACATAATCAATACAAATCACAACAATCAAATGATACATATAATACACAACAATCAAATGATACACATCCTAGGGCTAGTCAGGCTAGGCCAGGGCTATCCGAAAAAGGCGGGCTAGGGCTAGGGCTAGGGCTAGGGCTAAGGGCTAGGGCTAGGGCTAGGGCTAGGGCTAGGGCTAGGACTAGGGCTAGGACTAGGGCTAGGACTAGGGATAGGGCTAGGGCTAGGGCTAGGGACTAGGGCTAGGGCTAGGGATAGGGATAGGGATAGGGATAGGGATAGGGTTAGGGATAGGGATAGGGATAGGGATAGGGTTAGGGATAGGGATAGGGTTAGGGATAGGGATAGGGATAGGGATAGGGATAGGGTTAGGGATAGGGTTAGGGATAGGGATAGGGCTAGGGCTAGGGCTAGGGCTAGGGCTAGGACTAGGGCTAGGGCTAGGGCTAGGGCTAGGGCTAGGGCTAAGGGCTAAGGGCTAGGGCTAGGGCTAGGACTAGGGATAGGGATAGGGCTAGGGCTAGGGCTAGGGCTAGAGCCAGGGCTAGCCAGGCTAGGCCAGGGCTATCCGAAAAAGGCGGGCTAG